TCGGAATGGTAATCAGTGCGCTCCGAGCTGCACAGAGACCATTTGTGTGCATAGACAGATGCAGTGCCTCCCAGCCTATCTCACAGGCAGGCATCATAATTTATTCATGTAGATTGAACTCTGCTGCACGAAAACGCAGTAGGTCTATAATATTCCCTCAGAATTACATGAACTAAGAAGCACTCATAGCCAGTCACATTAAAAAAGAGTCACATTTGAGGCCTGAGCAAGACTTTTATTGCAAACCCACCCATCCCTTAAAAAATAAAACCCTTGCTGCACAGTACTCTGCCACATAAAGCCAAATATAGCAGCCTATAGCTGAATACTCCTGCATGTATTACATAGATTACTGGCAGCAAAGTGTTGAGTTGGCTGAAACTTAAAGCCCTGGCTCCCCGGGGGTCTGCTTGGCACACGACCTGTCACTATCTGATTCAATGATCCTGTGGCCTTTTGTGCAAGTTGGCGAAGTAGCCTGTTACGGTGCAGGAGACTTCTTGGACTCACCCGCTCCCCAGGGCCTCCTGGCACCGTGGGATAGGTGTTCGCTGTCTTCCCTAAGGATTTAGACTCCAGATCAATAGCTCTGTCTAGCTACAACACATCAGTTAGGATCAATGGGAGTAGCTTAAGTGGTTTAAAGGGACAGATTACCCCTAAATTAAATATACATATTTTTCTTCTTTACTGTTGTGCTATTTAGAAATCTAGATTTTTTTGGTGTGACTTGCAGAGTGTTGGAGATATCAGCCGTAGAGATGTCTGCCTTCTCTCCAATATAATGGAACTAGATGGCACTCAGCTTGTGGTGCTCAAAGTGCCAAAAAATACATTTGAAAATCAATATCTCTTTCCAGATCATGACCTGGTTACCCAATATGACCCACAGACCTTGTTGTGAGCAGTTTCATAAAGGAACTATTTTCTTTCTACAAAACTCCAACAGCCTGCCAAGTCATCATGCAAAACAAAGCGTGCATCTACTGCTAACTCACCTAGCACCACAGAGCTAGCTAACGTTACAGCTCAGCCGAGGAGGATACCATGACTGTTTAAGGCCCAGACACACCAAATCGACATCAAAAAACTAGTGGCGACGAAAGCTGACTGTTGTGTTGCCGCACGTCGCCTCTGACCCGGCCAAAAAGTTGCACTGAACATACCACAAAGACTACAGCTGAAAGCTAACTAGCATGTGGAACAAGGTCACAGATACAAGCGGCCGATATGAGTTTCCTCCATGGGGTGTCTGGGCTCAGCCTTAAGCACTATTCAGACGGGATTAGTTTTACATGGACATGTGGGGTAATGTCACTTTACCACAGGACGTAGGTAATATAAATGGCCAATTCGCATGGGATAAGAAATATCAGTAAAACTACCACAAGTGGGAGAGGTAAATCCATTCATGCACCGCCGTCCCCTCCTGTCATCATGTGCGTATGACGTTGCTTCCTGTGCGTACCACACTCGAACACACTTGAATCGTGTTTGTCGTAGGCCCACAGTACCTGAGGTTTCACACGGTCCGACTGTGAAGTGCAAAACTGAGTGCTTCTTCAAGAGCCTCCATGCTTGAAAATCCACGAAAAACCACTTGTAAACAGGATATGACGAAATATCTACACACATTTTTACTGCTGGTCTCTTCCCACAGGATTAGTATTACCTGAGGTAATTGTCCAGGACCCTTTTACAAAAGGTAAAAGTCGCGGTAATATTTACTGATATCGTGCAGTAATGATTACTGACATGGCACATTCAGACGGGACTAAAATCTCTGATAATTATTACTTTACCCCACGTACCTATGTAAAACTAATCCCATCAGAATAGGACTTTAGAAATAGGGTGAGGATCTCGGACATCCGGAGGGAGCTCGGAGTAGAGCCACTGCTCCTTAGTGTCGAAAGGGGTCAGTTGAGGTGGTGTGGGTACCTGATCAGGATCCTCCTGGGTGCCTCCTGTTAGAGGTGTTCTGGGCACGTCCCACTGGTAGGAGGCCCCGGGGCAGACCCAGAACATGCTGGAGGGATTATATATCTCATCTGGCCTGGGAACACCTTGGGGTCCCCCAGGAGGAGGAGGAAAGCGTTGCTGAGGAGAGGGACGTCTGGGCTGCTTTGTTTGGACTGCTGCCCCCCCGGATAAACGATTGAAAATGGATGGATAAAGGGAAACCAGAAGACCGACAGGACAGATTCATAACACTAAATAGGCAGTTAGCACATTAACAACAGAACCTGATGTTGAAAGAACAAAGGATATTTACCGTGCGCTAGTGAACAATAAAACAAACAGTTACGAAGTGTTTCTACTAAAGAGCTCAATGACTGAAAAAAATCTTATCTTATGTAGCAAGTTTTTTCAATCTCACGCCCTCTTGACCCGATTCAACATGCTGAATTGGATGAAAAAGAGCCAAAAAGAGCCGATGAGGGCCGGCTAGGGCAACTAGGGCAATGCCATTGAAAAAGTCTGCTCTCCTTACAATTTCATAGACTTTTTCATTGCCGTTCTCTTGTTTACAAAGCTATTATTGGCCTTCGTCCAACATACTTGTGTATTCATTAGCAAAAAAATAGAAAATGGCTCTGCTCTCCATTCACAAAACATGTTTTATAGTCTGTACTGAGGGTACGTACAGAGTTTGGTAAGCTGGAATCTTCTGCAGAAGGATTTAAAGCTGCTCTTGTTGGTTACTCTCGGCCGTTTAAAAACACTGTCGCAAGATTTTTGTACACAATCGTCTATAAGTCGATGTCATGGTGTGTCTTGGCTGGTCTTTCTGATCATGTGTAGTTGCTGTTTTTGCGTTTTTTTTACGGTTAATTTCTAGCATACAGTACAGGCCAAAAGTTTGGACACACCTTCTCATTCAATGCGTTTTCTTTATTTTCATGACTATTTACATTGTAGATTCTCACTGAAGGCATCAAAACTATGAATGAACACATGTGGAGTTATGTACTTAACAAAAAAAGGTGAAATAACTGAAAACATGTTTTATATTCTAGTTTCTTCAAAATAGCCACCCTTTGCTCTGATTACTGCTTTGCACACTCTTGGCATTCTCTCCATGAGCTTCAAGAGGTAGTCACCTGAAATGGTTTTACAACAGTCTTGAAGGAGTTCCCAGAGGTGTTTAGCACTTGTTGGCCCCTTTGCCTTCACTCTGCGGTCCAGCTCACCCCAAACCATCTCGATTGGGTTCAGGTCCGGTGACTGTGGAGGCCAGGTCATCTGCCGCAGCACTCCATCACTCTCCTTCTTGGTCAAATAGCCCTTACACAGCCTGGAGGTGTGTTTGGGGTCATTGTCCTGTTGAAAAATAAATGATCGTCCAACTAAACGCAAACCGGATGGGATGGCATGTCGCTGCAGGATGCTGTGGTAGCCATGCTGGTTCAGTGTGCCTTCAATTTTGAATAAATCCCCAACAGTGTCACCAGCAAAACACCCCCACACCATCACACCTCCTCCTCCATGCTTCACAGTGGGAACCAGGCATGTGGAATCCATCCGTTCACCTTTTCTGCGTCTCACAAAGACACGGCGGTTGGAACCAAAGATCTCAAATTTGGACTCATCAGACCAAAGCACAGATTTCCACTGGTCTAATGTCCATTCCTTGTGTTTCTTGGCCCAAACAAATCTCTTCTGCTTGTTGCCTCTCCTTAGCAGTGGTTTCCTAGCAGCTATTTGACCATGAAGGCCTGATTGGCGCAGTCTCCTCTTAACAGTTGTTCTAGAGATGGGTCTGCTGCTAGAACTCTGTGTGGCATTCATCTGGTCTCTGATCTGAGCTGCTGTTAACTTGCGATTTCTGAGGCTGGTGACTCGGATGAACTTATCCTCAGAAGCAGAGGTGACTCTTGGTCTTTCTTTCCTGGGTCGGTCCTCATGTGTGCCAGTTTGGTTGTAGCGCTTGATGGTTTTTGCGTCTCCACTTGGGGACATATTTAAAGTTTTTGCAATTTTCCGGACTGACTGACCTTCATTTCTTAAAGTAATGATGGCCACTGGTTTTTCTTTAGTTAGCTGATTGGTTCTTGCCATAATATGAATTTTAACAGTTGTCCAATAGGGCTGTCGGCTGTGTATTAACCTGACTTCTGCACAACACAACTGATGGTCCCAACCCCATTGATAAAGCAAGAAATTCCACTAATTAACCCTGATAAGGCACACCTGTGAAGTGGAAACCATTTCAGGTGACTACCTCTTGAAGCTCATGGAGAGAATGCCAAGAGTGTGCAAAGCAGTAATCAGAGCAAAGGGTGGCTATTTTGAAGAAACTAGAATATAAAACATGTTTTCAGTTATTTCACATTTTTTTGTTAAGTACATAACTCCACATGTGTTCATTCATAGTTTTGATGCCTTCAGTGAGAATCTACAATGTAAATAGTCATGAAAATAAAGAAAACGCATTGAATGAGAAGGTGTGTCCAAACTTTTGGCCTGTACTGTACATTAACATACTTTTTGGCTTTCCTTGTAGTTATCTTATTTTGTGTTTTATTTTGCTTGTTTTAGAGCTGCATATTTTTATTTTTTAGAGGTTTTTCTTGTTAAATTAAGGTTAAATAACTGTCTGTATGGTTCATCAGGGCTCTTACATCTTGCACTATCACGAGCACGAGACTCTCATCCATGAATCGATGCACACTTAGTTCTGTGTGGTGATGCAGTTGGCAGGTGCAAAAGAAAATAGTTCCTACATGAAACTGCTCACAACAAGGTCTGTGGATTATCTTGAGTAACCAGGGCATGATGTCTGGAAAGAGACATTGATGTTGAGTTTTTCAGATGTCTTTTTTGGCACTTTGAGCGCCACAAGCTGAGCGCCATCTAGTTCCATTATACTGGAGAGAAGGCAGACATCTCTACGGCTGATATCTCCAACACTCTGCAACTCACACCAAAACAATCTAGACTGATAAATAGCACCACAGGTAAGAGGAAAAGTATGTATTTCTGATTTTGGGGTGAACTCTCCCTTTAAAATGGTTATGCGGAAATGTAAAATAGAGCTATTTAATCTGTTTATCACACTGAATATCTGTGCACAAACTCACTGATATCACATAAATGTAAAAGTGTTGCACTCGTGTTGGCTACCTGCACAAACACCCAGCAGACTAACTGCTTTTTCCAGCAGCCACAACAACATCCCAGCATTTTGCTGGTGGGAAGTGTTAATGTCAAGGCCTGCGTGTGGCCTCCTGTGAGTGTCTCATCAGAGTCATCATGAGTTGACACTTGCTGATATGAAATGACACGGACATGTCTTAGTTTTCTGCTGAGCTCCTTTACTGTTGTGATTCATGCCTCTCTCACAGACACACATCACCCAGGAACTGTTGATAGGTGAGGCCATCTGCCCGTTCACCTGTCCGGCTCTTTTTTTCCAAGAAGGAGCCCATGCTGTCCCGCGGTGGGTCGGCGATGCTGCGGCTCCACAGGGTCTCTGTGATCCCCAGCAGCTCACGCACACGAGCAGAGATGACCTGCGGGGCACACAGCAGGGTTGAGTCCTTTGATAAAGTGTGTGTTTACAGTATCTCTCACATTCCTTTAATAAGGTAGTCCCACTGAGAGTGAGAGTGTCTACTCTTTCAAGGAGATCACACCGAGATTGTGGCATCATGGGAAGAAAGGTGACGGGGTAACACTCCCCAAAAACAAACGCATCAAAGGACTCACAGGCTAATATTCTCCACTAAATAGAGCACAGACAATTCTTTACTGAGCCCATCTATCTCCAGGTATTTAATTAACACTTTACACTCACAAGAGACGCCGCTTCTTTTTTTTTTTTTTAAGCCTCTACAGTAAAGCAGAGCTGAATACATAAAGGCGCTTTTAGCCAATTTAGTCCTGACCTCTGGGAGAGATAAGAAAAACAGGCACTTTAACTGTAAACAGCATATATGTGATACAGCTGATCTGAGGTGTCTGCTGGCAGTGATGCTCGGTTATAACACGCAACTTTAATTGGATGTCACACCGTTCAAAGAAACAGTGTTAAAGTGCCAAATGGGAAGTGCAACTGAGTTGGCACAGACTAGACACCAGTTTCCAGTGTTTACGGTCCACTTAGAGCTAACTGGAGAGATCTTTTATCACAGTGGAAGAGGCAACTAAAAATGATTTCTACAGGTTAATCTTTCTGTTGTTTATGTTTTTTATTGGTCCATTACTTTAACCTGGGAATGGTCAAATTAAAGGTCCAGTGTGGAGGATTTAGTGGCATCTGGCAGTGAGGCTGCAGAACTGAAGTTTCTCCTGTGTAGCTCAGCTGGCCACCAATGGTGTTAGATGTTGATATTTGGTTGAATTTAGGCTGTGATGTCAGATGTCCAAAATTCAATGTCAGGACAACCTCTAATGCCAACGCCAATCTAATAGAATAGAATAGTGACTTGTATTGTAAGTTTGTTAAGTATTGTTAAGTTAAGAAAATCCAACGTCTTCCAAACATCTCATGCTAACATCATCTTGACGTAGAATAACAATATTAAGTCTGAAGGTCTGACGGACAAAAGCCAAAGTCTGTAAAACGTCATAACGATCGTCTGCACAATATGAAATTCTAACGTTATCAGGCATTTTTTTATGATCATTTTTGGGGCTTTTTTTTTTGCCTTTGTTTGGTGGGGTGGCATGCGGTGCGGTGGGGGTCTGTGGGTTGGAATCGAGCCTGTGGCCCCTGCAGTGAGGATACGGCCTTCCTTTGCACAGGGGGTGCCTGCTCTACCAGGTGAGCTAGTGGGTGCCTCGTGTTATTAGACATTTAAAATATCGTCAACTCAATTTTTATTGTAACCAAAATTTAACTTCTGATTAACTTAAGACTCCAACGTCTTTCTGACGTCATTTTGATGTCTGGTGCCAGCTGGGATGGTGGCCAACGCAAAGGTGAATGGCCTTGCCTTGAGGTCTCTTTTACAGTGTAAGTCTATGGGAAAATGTCTTTTTGGGCCCCATGGCATCATGTGATGTACCTGGAAGCACAGTCGTACAATGAGACAGTGGGTCCCTGGGCCCAGACATGGAGACTTAATTTTAAGCCTCTTTTTGTTGTTTTGCATCTATTTGTGGTCATTTTGTGTCTCTTTGTGATCATGCTGCTCCTGTCCGTAGTCGTTGTGAGTCTCTTTGCAGCTGTTTTGCATCTCTCTGTAATTGTTTTGTGTCTCTTTGTGATTGTTTTGCTCCTTTCCATAGTCGTTGTGAGTCTCCTTGCAGCTATTTTTGCATCTCTTTGTGTCTCTCTGTGGTCATTTTGAGTCTCTTCCTGATTAGTGCATGTCTCCTTGAGGAACATATTGCAGGCACAGGCCCAGGGGCGCCCTGACACTTTGAGCCCCTGGGCCTGTGCCTGATAGGCCTGTTCAGTAATCCATACATGCCTAGAAGTTGTAATTTCACAGTTTGACCACTACAGAAATTTGCTTGAAAGCCTGGCCCACTTCCTGAGGGCCTGATCTAGAATCAGTGTTTGAATTGTGGGTTCTGAGTTACTGTAGAGCAACATCTATCTCTGTAGATAAGGACCCACTCTATATGTAGATATAAACAGCTCATTGTAAGGTAACAAAAACACAATGATTCTTATTTTAGGTGATTTTAAACTAATGAAAACATAGTTATGAATATTATACATCATTTCTGCCAACAGATGTTCCTAAATCCTACACGCTGGACCTATAAGCAAAAATATCCATGCCACACAGTGCTGATGTTTTGTCTTACACGATGGCCAGCAAATAGTTGATATTACTGCTTGATGAAGTAGGCTGCGTAAAGAAACAGTGTGTAAGATTTAGGGGAATTTAGTGGCATCTAGTGGTGAGGATTGCAGATTGCAACCAGCTGAAACGTCTCTCACTTAGAACGACTTAAGTGTTTATAGTTCAGGAGGTTTTTCGTGGGAGCTGAATTACCCATAGAGATCTCTTCCTTGCCAAAACAAATGAACTAGCTGATTAAAACTGGTATAAACACTGAATAAAGCAGTTTCATGTTACAAATCAGTGTTTCTCCGACACCGTTCGGCTTGTCACAGATGGGCCACAAGCCCAGCACCTGCTAATGTGTGCTCAGCTTTTTTCTCTGATAACTTGATTACCATGAGCTGAATTATCTGCCGATGTCTCTTCCTCTCTAAATCAAACAGACCCGGTGATTTAAACTGGTAAAAACAATGAATTCAGCAGTTTCGCGTAGGGTTGCAGCAGTACACTGGTTTCAAAGGTAAATCATAGTTTGAAAATTGTACATTTGCTTATTTATGATATTGGGGGAAAAAAGCAACTGGACAGAGAATCTCACCTTTATTTTAGTTATTTTCAAAAGGGAGACTTTGTACACATACTTCCACTGACAAGATGGTGTCAAGTTTCAATTGTAGTTGTAAAACTTCTGTTCAACCGACAATAACATCTCCGTTTTCATTCCTTTAAGAGTCATTCTGACTGTTTATAATAATATTTCTGTAATACCGTGAAACCACGATATTTTCTGAGACGTTTATCGCACTATACTGTTGCAACCCTAGTTTCACATTAAAATAATTAGTGTTTTTCTGACACTAATAGTCTTATCTAAAGCCAGTGTTTGGTTTGTGTTCTGGTCTACTCTACAAACACGGCGTTGCAACATGGCGACCTCCCTGGACATGGACCCGCTCTATATGTAGATATTGACGGCTCATTCTAAGGTAAAGAAAACACAATTCTTTTTTTTTTTCTTCAGGTGATTATACACTAAAGAAAATATTATAATCTATTTCTATTCATCCCCTTAAAGCTTACACACTGAATCTTCAAATGATCAATCGCTTATCAAAATTTGAATCAGCAAAGACAAACTCATCCAATCACTTCAGCACCAGATGATAACAGCACACACACAGAGTACAGTAGTTTTCACAGTGCCATCATTATCTTGGTGCCACTCAGCCTGTTGAAAACTGCCTTGAACACTGTGTGAGCCTCCAGCTTTGATATGTAAACAAGCCTCCATAATGACATCAGTCTCCTCTGAAGGTTACAGTAAAATAACTCCACTTTCTCTGCCTCTTCTCTATAATACCTTCATGTCTTTAAAATCGGTGACTCCAAGTCTTGGCAAGTAGATGCAATTTACATAAATGAGCTTTCTTCCGGTGATGAAGTTCTCGGTGAAACATGCCTGCGACAGAAACGTATAATGAGGTTAGTTTGGAGCTTTGAAGGCTGAAATATTCAGACACGTATACTGTGACAGCCAGTGCTGTCTCGGGTTCACCCACTTTGTACTGTGGAAATCCTAAAGACTCGATCCATCCTGCAACATCATGACAACTCCACTGTAGGAACTCCATGTTGCCTGTGAGCAAGTTGCCATGGAAACTGTTGCCTGCCACTATATGTTGATACGTAATTCATTTAAACATAAAAGCGACTTTTTCCGGTCATAAAAGTATATTAAACAGTTGTAAAGCGATATTTTTGACGCTTATATTCTCGAAAAAGGTTTTTAACGGCTCAATAAAGCAACAGAAATTGTTTTACTTTGTGTTTACAGATACAGCCAATCAGCTTCTCCTAATTTAGGGCGGTTGGTGAATCCCGCGCAGTGATTGGCTGTTAAATCGGGGCCGTCCCGCCCACATCGAACGGAAACAGCGAATGCAGCCACGCGCAGCTTCAACAGATCTACAAATCAAGTTCGCCGCTCTGCTTCGCTAACATCGTTTTGTAGATCGTTTTAAAGCGCAGCAGAGCCTCCCCCTGTCTCCGTGCTCCCCACATCACAGCTAGCTAAACTTCTCTTTGCTCCCTGTGTCTTTTGGGTCGGTTGAAGGGCTCCGGAGCAGAAACACACACACCAGACACTCCACAATGGCAGCAATTCTCCGGTCCCTTTTAAACAAGAAGGTAAAACTCAGTCACGCTCATGTTTTGCGCAACATTTGGTTGATATTTGACGCTCATTCAACTCCAAAATAGCTAACAACCTGCTAGCTAGCAAAGTCGTTGCCTAACACACACGCTGCACACCCCTCCTTCTTTGCAAACATGTAATATTTATGTGCCATTTAAGCCGGGTAGGTTTTATTTGCATCATGTGAACAATGCAGTCAGGCAGTGCAGCACTTTAGACAATGAGTTTGACGTGAATTAAAGTTGACTGTGGTGTTGTAATTCTTGCAGGCGCCACTCCAGCTGGGTCGCATGTGTTACTCCTCCTCCTCAGTGGTAAGAGCCCCCACTCACCTGCTTTTATAACTCAGCAGTGAATGACTGTTATGTGTTCAGCTTGAGAGGTGTCTGCTTCTGTCAACCTGATGCATTATGCAGTTAACTTAATATTGAATAATATCTTCATTGTTAGGCACACATGACCAGGGGCGTCTCAGCAGGGGGACAAGTGGGACTCATTACCCAGGGCCCCAATGCGAGAGGGATCTGCAAAAAGCCTAGAATGAAAAGTTTGGTTTTCTTTGCAAATTCTATCTCTGAGTAATTAGGTGTCATAACTAGATAACTAAAATTGGCCAAATAAACCAGTTTGACCTTTGTGTTATGAAAAAATATTTGAAGCTCTCTGAGGCTCCTCCCGTCCCCTAAAGGTACAAGATGGTCCCGTCCACCCCTGCACAAAGATTTGTCCCCAAACGCAGCTAATGCCTAGTTCAGACCAAAGATTTACAACAAGACGAGTTGAAATATGCAACTACCTGCAACACGCCGTTCTGCAACATTCTAAAACATGCTGGTTCACACCAATGCATCTAGATGAGACAGTGTATCATCTCCATGCAATAACTGTCTGTACTTCTGTTCTGAGTTGCAGCTTTTCAGGTTTATTTTGTGGCTGAACATAATTTGTAGCTTCTTAGAATATGAATGAGGATAGTGATAGTGAGATACTGGCTACAGCTGCATTTGTAGTAGTGATGAAGTGGTGAAAAACAGACACAAAACTAGAATCAGATGGACTGAATTCATAATAAATATGCCACTATAATATAAATAATGGGGGCATAGGCACATACAGTGAGCAGCAGCAGCGACCCACCATCCGACACCGGCACACTGTGAGGACGGAAACGGAGGGCTCGGCAGGGACAGAGCACCTGCTGCACCAAGGGAACACACTGTCTGTTGCATTGTGACTTGACCAACGGACTTTACACCAAGCCAGTTGGCTGTTGAAGCAGGTGACGTGCTTTACGTTCTAAAACCAGCCTCCAGCAATTTGACCAGCTGAGCTTCAGGTGACACCATCAGCCGACTTGAGTCAAGCTCAGACGGCCAGTTCACACCGCTGCAACTTTTCTTTGCAATGTTCTAAAATGGTTTTGTCTCGTCATGGGTCTTTTGTCTGAACTGGGCTTTATGCTGCTGGAGCACCAACATACACTGTCATGCCCTTCCTTGTGTAAAGGAGATTTGGGTTCCAAAAAAAAAAGTAAAGGGAAAAAATGCAAACTGACTTTGTTAAAAAAATCTCATAAGGTAAGGGAGACATGGATCAGGAGAGAAAGTGTGGGGGGCCCAAATAGACTACATATGCACAGGGCCCAGAATTTGGCGCTACACCCCTGCACCTGACCCAGTAATATCAAAGCAACACCATGTGAAATAATTTAATTCATGTTTATGATCTTTATAAGCTGTGTTCTTGGATCACCTTAAAGATGACAGCTCAAATGATACTGCATTGTTTTTCCAACATAATGTAGTTTTGATAATGATATATTGGCTGATATGATTAGCCAAAATATTTTGACAAAGATCCCTTTCATTTGGTTGCTAATTCAGTGTGACCAAGATATGTATGAAGTGAAACATTTTACATCAGCCTACACTATAATTAAACCAGTGATTCAGAGATTGTCTGCACACGCTCTCAACATGGAGGCTGATCCAGTGGCTAGCAGCTAACGGTGCTAATAGCAACAACAACAGTTGCTGAAAGAGCTAACCGTGTTAACCAGGGAAACCAGAGGCTTGCCTCTACGCCTTCATGATGATGCTGCCCCAATATCTGCGATAACTGCCGTATGAGTGCAGTGCGGAGTGGCAGCAATTAGCTAGCCAGTGGGATACATATTTTGAGACTCACATGCACCAACCTGCATTCACAGCCGGACCGTTTTCCACGGGAATGTCAAAGGTCTGGACGCGACTTGTCTTTCAAAATTAGCTATATGGTGTGCCTCACAATACTGGTTAATCAAGCAAGTTAACTTTGCATTTTTTCTGTTCACCTCATCATAGCAGGACCTGTTGGACTTGTTGGTTACAGGCTGGAAGCTTAGTGGTGGTGACGCTGAAGTCATTTGATCCTAGTGTTGTTTGCGTATAGCCTAACGTTAGCTTTTAATCTCTGGCGATTTCATTTACGCCTTAAAAATCATAAAAAGTGGGGTTCGATTGTGACGATATCGCTGAACAAAACATGCAAGTGTCATAAACTTTTGTTTGCCACAGAGCAATGATCCAAAATAATCCTGTTCTTTGCTCTTGTATTTCTTTTGTACATTAATTGTGAGACAAAAGTGTAACAGCACACTCGAAAATAAGCGTCTTGATAGTATGCATACTCGTTATTTGAGTGCACTTCATTCCAGTGTACACACTATATAAACCTTCTTAGAATTAGAGTATAAATCTACAGGAAGTAAAGTGATATAAAACATGTGCTTTAGGAACTCTCTGTGTATGTTGTGATGATGGATGTACACTGCAGTGTGTCCTTAATGAACTTAGTAATGATGTAACCAGGCAGGAGGGGATTTAACCATATGCTTCTCTGATCCTCTAGCCCACCACCAAGCTGTTCATTGATGGCAAGTTCGTTGAGTCCAACAGCTCTGAATGGCTCGACATCCACAACCCTGTAAGTATTCATAGATGAACTATATACATCCTGCGAGGAGGCTGCGGTAACAAGATCTCTACTTAAAGCCGGCTGCAAATAACCAGCGCAGTTCTGTCGTAGTACCTGATGAACATTAGGGAGAGCAAATAAGTCTTGATTTGTTCAGTTTCTAAGAAATCAAAGCCCCGTCATGTTTTATATCCGCCGAAAGTCTTTCCCTGCTGTAGTTTAGCTTGTCAAGTATGAGTCTCTAATAAGGCAGTGATGGATGATTACAGCATGCAGAAACAGCCGTCTGCTTTCATCACATAAAATATCAAACTTGTAAAGGATAGACAACAAACATGTGGTTGTTAATATCGATGGATTAATGTGAATGCCGCAATACAGAGTAATGGCTTCCCCTGCTCTCAGTCAACTCGTCTGTACCGACTGTCTCCTGCTCCTCCTCCTCAGGCCACTAATGAGGTGGTGGGACGCGTTCCCAAAGCTACCCAGGAGGAGATGCTGGCAGCTGTGGACTCCTGCTCCAGAGCCTATCAGTCCTGGTCCGAGACCTCCATCCTCAGCAGGCAGCAGATCTTCCTGCGCTACCAGCAGCTCATCAAGGATAACAATGTAAGGGAATCTGTCTCTTGCTCATTTGAGTCTGTCGGAGACAATGATTGGTTGATTGTTTCATCTTTCACTCGTGTTGACATTTTCAGCACCTGTTGCGCTCATTTTCAGGTTTATATTTGTGTTTTAGGTTTCTACGAGAATATGTTTACATGCTTTAATGATATAGAGCACTTGTATTCACCCTTTGCCCGGTAGATTCTATTTTAGGCGACGATACGTTCACATTACAGGGCTAAATGCTCAATTGTTCCCCAGTTCTGACTGTTCACATTCATGTTTGAAGTGACCCATATCTGACATCGGTGTGAACATATCTCTGCTCTGAATGGCCTCACATGCATCCAACACTGTCATGCACCTGCACATTGGAACAAATGCATAACATTTGTGAGACAATGGCATTTGTGAAAAACTAAATGAAACAGTGGTGCAAGCGTTCATCTCCCAAATGATTTGCTGCAGAGGTCAGATGACAGTTTGTCATAAGTTGAGGATGAGGGTAAGAAGAAAAAGGAACACAAATGCCATATTATCTGTTAGCAGCTATTGCTGGTAGTTCTGTGGAGGGAGAGGTGTGGGTGCAGGCAGGAGAAGAGTAATGAGTGGGTGGTCCACGATGTGAAGGCTTGCCCGGAGGGACAGTGCCTCCAAAAATGTCAAGATGTCCAGGGCAACATATTAGCCCCGTTTCCGCCGAGCGGTATGTTACGGTTCACCATTTCCATAGTGAAAATATGTGGATGGTACCAATGGAAGCGTTCCTTAGCGTCCCTATGTTTGGTCCCCCCTCTGTTGGGGTACCTAGCACACAGATCTGGTACTAAAAGGTGGAGCTGTGAACACTGCAGTCTGATTGGTCAGTAGAGGACGGTCACTCTGCTCAGGGCTGAGTTGTGTCTGGTTTTGAGGCTCATGTAACCACTGTTCATACTGTGGAGAGTTTTATTAGTAAACTGTAACTATAAAATGAAAGGACGTTTTGCTGCCTCTCACAGCAGCTGGAGTCTGAGAAAAAAATAACTTCATTCACTGGGCCGACTGACGGCAACTTTTAAGGTGGAACGTTAACTTGTAATGTTACTCAATGCATGAGTTGATGACGTGAATCCATCAGCACACCTTAAATTTCACTGTGACAACTTTGACCATCACTTTAGTTTTATATGACACACACTTTTAGTAATGAGTGGATCTTCAAGTGTTGATATAGATTAATTTCAGTCAGGTTATGTGAACTGCATATATTCTTATCCTCACTTCCTGTGGGCTACAGCAACACTAAACCCCTGAGCTTGCCTGAGAAGGACTAAATGCACAAAGCTGCTATTTTTAAATATCCCATGGAGAGAGACTCTCACTGCAGCCTGTTCTATTTTGTTGTGAAAATGTGGGCGTGCAGCCTCGTTCTGTGGACGATAAACCAGGTGCAGACTTCCATCTGTGTCACCGCTGATGAGGAAATACAGCGAGTGCTGCACGGAGCAGTGAGTGACAACAACCCCGCCCACATTTAAGAGGACTGTCTGAACAGACCGAGGGTCTAGGTACCATGTCTGAAGGGTTACTGTTGGTTCCAAAGGTACCACACCGAAAGTGTTTGGTGGAAACAGTGCTTCTGTCAGTGCCTCATGACGACGCCGTCACTGCATGTAGGCAGTCTGGTCCTGTCAGAAAGCTGATGCTAGAGGTCTATTGGCTGGCTCCTGGGATGACCTGCTGCTGCAATGGTACAGCTACAGCAGCCTTTTGTAATTTCACTGTACCGCTCTGACACTGCATGTTGAGTGATCTGCTCATGCACAGTGAAGTATGAGACAGAAACAACATGGCAGTATGGGGAAAAACACACATGAATTCTGATATGCCTGTTCTTACAGTGGTCACATGGCCAGTGATCAGATCTGTATTGAATTTAGGAGCACATCTGAAAGTGTCCCTGATCTGATTGGTCTGTGTCACACGAGAGCAAGAAAAAAAACTTGGATTTGGGCCACATTTGCTTGTGATGTGAACGTAGCTTCAGCGCCTTTCTCTAAGCCCAGTCTACTTTAATTGCTCAGCATTTTCTGGACTGTGCCTCTGCACTGTTGTTACAGCTGGGGAATGACTGTAACAGAGTGTAGCTGCTTTTTCTCCTGAGAAAAGTCACCAATAAAAGCTTCTAACCACAACTGGACATGTTCCAGCAGGAATCTGATCCAGAACTGGGGAGAAGTAAAAAACATCAGTAACCAGGATTACATGTTTACCTGATATTAGCATGTAGCATTGTACGTACGTTATGTAACCATTTAAAGTTGACCAGATGACATATAAAGAATTTCATGATCTGGTGCAGCTTATCTCAAACACATTGGAAACCGAGTATTCAGAACAGTGTGAAGCCAGAGGTTTTCGCTCACAGGGATTACTTTTACGTCTGTTCACCTATCATTTGAAACTTTTGCCACATTTAATATGAACCTCCGACATTATCATTTTATATTTATGACAGAAAATAAGGGAAAACACCATAGGACTCCTTTAAGATCACAACATGGCAAGAAAGAAAGGAAAGGGTGTCTACAGGTCCTTTAAAAAGTCTTAAATTAAGTTATCTTAATAAGGACTTAAAGTCTTAAATTGTCTTAAATTTAGATTTGATTGACAGACCAAAGAACTGCCATTATAAATTGCATTTATGACAGAGATGAGATGTTGTTTTCTTTTTACATTTAACACATCAAACTTAAACTCGCCAAATTATTGTCATTTTGCCTTACTATTCATTTTGAACTGACATCAGAGTGTTAATCTTGAAAGAGTGCTTACAAATGTGTGTCACAAATGCATATAAGTTGGTATTAAAAAGGTCTTAAAGTCTTAAATTTAAATTGGTCTTAAATTTAACTTGGTCTGTAGACACGCTGATGTGTTAAATTAATTGTCGCGCTGTATTTCTGTAACATTTCAGAAAGAGCTGGCGAAGTTGATCACCTTGGAGCAAGGCAAAACCCTCGCTGATGCAGAGGGAGACGTATTTAGAGGACTTCGTAAGTAAAGACATAGACTTCCCAGTGTGCTATTGGGTTTTGATATCCTGATTAGATGAGAGTGCTGGTAAATGTATAGTGCAGATCAAATTCCACCGTTGAAACTGTCTATAGTATCTGTGTCTCCTGATGAAAAGTCTGTATCTTTGGCATCCCTTTATACCATCGCCTGGATGAAAGTTTGATACTAAGTGGCTGCAGGGTGTCAATTATTTGCGTGTAAGCAGACACTTACTGCGAAAGCGACGTTCACTTTTAAATTAATAATGGAGCAAGGGTTGTGTTTTGTCTATATTGACATATAGGAGCTTAAACTTTTCAAGAGGCTCTCACAGCGTCCAATTATAAAACAAGGGTTAGGGAAACAGTATCCCCGCAGCATCACATCCTGATGTTAAAGTGTGACTACCTAGTTTGTTTTTATGCAAAGCGTTCTGCAGGCTCTGCTGTTAGTAGCATGCTATAAAAAGAAAATTATGCAGTTCCCTCATTGAGGTGCACTTGTTCACTTCGGCAGACTTGCATCGACAAGAATCCTGTTGAGAAATTAAAAGAGCCATGCACACTTGCAAATAAAGGGAGATATATTTTGGTTATTACAAGACGGCGCTGCCAAAGTATTTCTTGTACTTGGTTCAGCTCCCAGTTCTGGGACGCCCGATTTATTCTGGCACACTAACTTTAAAGTTATCAGCTGAAAGACAGGCTCCATTTGCAGGTGTGCTGCCAGCGTTACAGATTTCCTACAGTACTGGGACTGATAGTGCTTGAAGTTTTCACAAGTTCCATTACAGTTCACTCACAGGGAAAAGAAATCAATTAACAGGTTTTTAATCTTAAAGGGACAGTACACCAAACTCACAAATACACATTTTGTAGTGTTATAGTGTGTGAGATATCAGCTGTAGAGATGTCTGCCTTCTCTCTAGTTTAATGGAACTAGATGTCACTCAGCTTGTGGTGCTCAAAAAATACATTTGAAAAACTCAACATCAGTGTCTCTTTCCAGAAATCATGACCTGGTTACTCAAGATAATCCATACACCTTGTTGTGAGCAGTTTCATATAGGAACTGTTTTCTTCCTACTGAACTAAACCCGCCAACTGTGTCATTGCACAGAATGAAGCGTGCATCTACTGCCAGCTCACCTAGCACCACTGAGCTACCTGACGTTACAGCTCAGTCAAGGTGTTCGCCAATAATGTTTACATCTTGCACGTAAGGTCCAAACACACTAGAAGCACCAGTAGATGCTCGTATGGCGCACTGCAGGCTCCACAATTTAAATCCCAACATCAAAGAAGCAGCAGTGTTTCAGGAAAGGGTTGCTATTTAAGTTTGTCAGCTTTACAGATACCCCCTATTCATTTTCTAGCCCATACATTTCTATTCGTGTTACATAAGGACAACTGTATCGTGTGTGCTGCTGCTCTGGTCAGTTGGTCAGCAGTAGAAGAGTAGTATAGCCAGTGAGAACCAGCTACCTCCTTTTTGTCTTTTATGTATTCCTCCATATGGGTCACTGTCAGTAAAGCACAGCTAATCACAGCTCTGTATCATGTTAATTAATTGCTGTTGTAAAGCTTATGCCACAAGTTAACTTTGACACAGCGAGAGTCTGTTAAGCTCGCGAATCCACCAAGGATCAAAGCCTCTATTGTTCTCATTTTTAGTATCTTCCATGTGGCAACACAGAGGTTGAGATCAACAGTAGTATAGCTGTGAGCAGTGGTAGGTGTTTCTGTTGAGCATTGCAGATTTACAATTGTGTAACTGTTCATGAAGTTTTGAGCTATGCTAATAGACTAACATTTCCACCTCTCTGTGTCTCCGTCTCTCCTCTCCGCCTCACTGACTGTTGTTGCTGGGTCCTCATTTGGCGCTCCCAAATCAAAATAAGGTCTGAGTAGAAGCATCAAAGCAGTTTGATGCGCCTCAAAATGCTTTTGGTGCATGTTTTAAAACAAAACACGTGCTTTCAGTGCACTTGGGCCTTCACAAGCACACGCCTCTCATCTATGAGCCTGGTCTAACTCTGAAGTCTTCAAAATCTGGCTCTTGTGCAGAGACTTGTAATGTCATAAACTAACTAAAAAAAGACTTCCTTTAACATCGGCATGATACGCAGCCAGCAAAAGTCTGACTGGGGCGGGCGGGAGTGGTGGTGGATGGGTCCAACAAACAATCCGCAGTGTTGTACTGATATAGTGCGTTTATTTTGAAAGAGACTGTATATAAACGTCAAATTTCCGGAGAAAAAGGGAGGCAGATCTTGACATGCTGTCCCAGAACATCAACAACCAACACACCCAGGGTACCTTGCACGTTGTATGTGGACGTGGAAAGTCCATGACTAAACGTCATGGACTTTCCAGTATGTGGTCTGAGGTCAGAGTGAGAATGTGCTGCACCTGAGTAGATGCTCGCTTCCTTCTGTGTGGTGAAACAGTCGGCCGCTGTAGTTCAGTAGAAAGAAAATAGTTCCTACAAGAAACTGCTCACAACAAATCTGTGGATTATCTTCAGTAACCAGGTCATGATTTCTGGAAAGAGACATTGCTGTTGAGTTTTTTAAAGCATTGAAGATTATGTGCTTTTGGTTTTTGGGGTGAACTGTCCCTTTAAGTAAGAGGCTTAAGTACAAAGTGCATAATGCATTGTAATGTTGACATTGAATTATCTCATCTTAAATAACTAATATTCCTATTACAATTTTCAGAGGAGCATCCATTAGCTCATTATGTATCTCAGATCTGTTTATCTCTTATTGGTTAACTTCATCCTCGTCTTCACTCCGACAGAGGTTGTTGAGCACGCCTGCAGCATTACATCCCTCATGCTCGGGGAGACATTACCCTCCATCACCAGGGACATGGACACTTACACCTACCGCCTGCCCATCGGCGTGTGTGCCGGCATCGCCCCTTTTAACTTCCCCGCCATGATTCCTTTGTGGATGTTCCCCATCGGCATGGTGTGTGGCAACACCTACCTGATGAAGCCCTCTGAACGGGTCCCAGGGTGCACCATGCTCCTGGCCAAACTGCTCCAGGACTCGGGAGCACCAGATGGTACACTCAACATCATCCATGGCCAGCATGCAGGTGAGAGTGTGTCTCCATTCAGACACACAATCTGTGTGTGTACTAACCATTGGGGGAAGGTCCAAGGATGATTCAAACACTAATCATACACCCCCTGGCAATATGGAGATAGGAGAATTTCCATATTATGTGCAGCTTATTATATCTGTAAAGTAATTCACGAGTGTTTGAGGAGAGAGGATTTGAATCTCTGTGTTCGAGGCCTCTCTGCTCTTATTTTGTGCCGTAGGGCCGCAGCACAGATTAGGAGGAGAGGATTAACCCTATCGGTTTGTATCTTTGTTTAGCGGTGAACTTCATCTGTGACCACCCCGCCATCAAAGCCATCAGCTTTGTGGGCTCCAACTCAGCCGGAGAGTACATCTACGAGCGGGGGTCCAAGAACGGCAAGAGAGTGCAGTCCAACATGGTAAGCCACGACTCACAGTGTGACTCATTTTAAAGCTGGGGTAGGCAGTTTAATGGGAAGGGGGACAAAACTACATCCTCCTCCTGCAGCTGTACCCGCTCTGTCCTACACCCCTCCCATCAGACGACCACAGGCATGTGCATGTGCTTTATATAGTAACCCATTGTTTCACATATGTTGAATTATGTAATCCAAATTTATTGCACAGCTCTCTGTGTCTATCAGACCTCAATGAGATGAGAATAAGCTAGTTACCTTCGCCTCGCTCCCTGCTGCTATGGACTGCCTCGCCTGGGGGAGGGCTGGCAGTGGCCCCAGGGCCCGACCTTTGGTAGGCCAGCAGCAGCGCAGGTATAACCTGTGTAATGGCATCAGTAGAATCAGGGAGTTGGACCGGTCCAGTCTCCCAGCACTGCTGCTGCTGACCAGGGGGGCCGTCTCTTGGGCTGCTGCCTGTTCTCCTCCTGGTGAGGTGGTCTGTAGCAGCTGGTAGTGAGGCAGAGGACACACTGATTCAAGGCTCTAGCTAACATTGGCTCTTTAGACGTGAACTTGAAGCTGAAGCTCGCTCCGGTTAGCAGTCAGCTAAACTATTAGCAATATTTTCTCTCCATCTCTGAAAGGCTTTACTGATAATGACATGTTTTGTTTTTTCAGTTTTGTTTATTGTCCGACTCTCTTTCTTATGAGACTGTCTTCCTTTTTTAGGTTGCCTTGCAGTGTAGGCAGTTGTTGCTGTTACTCTGACATCTGTGACCTGTCATATGCTGTGACCCAGAACCAGACTCCCTTTAAAATCATAGTGTTTTGTGAGTTGCTGAGTGGTTAGGGTGAAGATTAAGAGGCTGCACGCATGCTGCGTCTTTAATCGCCTGGAAAACACAAGGTCGGGCACTGGGTGTTACTCTTGTGCCTTCTCTGTGCCAACCTTCAAGGGCGTGAAAGCAGGTTGCGACTGAGGTTACTAAGCGACGATAACCAGCACCATATTGTAGCCTACTCATCAGAAATCAGAGTGCAGAGCTGATCTTCTTCCAACGGTTGTTTTGTAAGGGTGTATTGAGGCAAAAATATTGTCTGTTGGACAGATGTAAAGCTCTGGCAGCTCTAAACTAAAACGATTAACGTCTTCATATTTATCACAGACTGATATTTATGAAGAAGGAAAAGATAACTGTTGGCTGTGATTGGTTAGTAGTCGTCACATGCTATACAGTGCTCCAGAAGTTGAACACAGTTTATCAAAGGGCGCTAGCCTGGAAATCCAGACCCAAATCTAGACAGATTTAGGGTCTGGCTATGAGTAATGCAAATGGCCCAACTCGAGGGGCGGCACCAAGCATGCATTTGAAAATATCACTGCACACAATTGGATAACACTACGACCAATCAGAACAATTCACGGGGTGACGTATCCAGAGCGCTACCAGCGGAGCTAACTGGTAGATTAGACTCTTGCTGTATCCGCTCGGCAAAACAGCAAAAACGTCCTTCTTGCAAAGGAAAGATTCGAAGGCTGTCTTCTGTTCCTCTTTTAGAGAAAAAGCCAAGTCTAACTCGTTCATTGTAGCGGCCAAAGCCGTTTCAAACAACTGGTGTTCATCCGTAGCCATCTTGCAGTGTTTACTGACTGATTCCGGACTTTGTCGTAGCAGCGCTGTCGTCATCTGTTTAGCTCGCCTCTGGCCCGCCTATATCAGATACACTGATGTGATTGGTGCAGCTCGGCTCCAACGGCATAGGTAATGAGCATCATTACTGATTGCCAGAGTGACTCGCTGAGCAAATTCAAATTGTGCTCTCGCGAGAACTCTGGATTTCCAGGATAAAAGGGCGCAGCTGTCGGGCCCTAAAATATAGGCGCTCAGGAACGCCTGCGTGCTGCAACGGCGTTGCTCTGGTGTTTGAGCGCACCTGCCAGGTGTCCACATTGTAAACAATGAATTTGAGGGCACATTAAAGCGTCATGTGTACGACCCCTTAGGAAATGGGTCATAGAATTTGGTGTAACAGTTGCCAATATTTTAATACCTGCTTTCATTGCAGGTTTGTTGGTAGGGTTGCAACAATATGGGATTTTCATGGTACGATAACTGTATCAAAAAGTATCACAGCATATGATATTACACAGTTCTTATTATTATCAGTTAAGGTCACTTTAAACGAATGAAAACAGGTTTTTAGTCGAACAAACTCTTGATTATGATTGAAATTTGAAACCATTTCTTGAATGGAAGTTTGTGTAAAAAGTTTGTGAGACAGTTGAAAAGGAAAAGATTGCCTTCTTTCAATACCGTAGATAAGCAAATATATAAGGTGTGAGAACTGTCAATTTCCATGCCAAGATGCAGTGTCACGGTGTACCTTTGCAATCCTAATCGCCGCCCATAGAATCAGGCGTTCACTGAAGAGACGTGCATCTGCATTTGTAGAACAGCCAATAGGACCGCACTCTGTGAAATGACCTGTGATTGGCCAAATCTCCTGTCACAGGTTTGATTTTCTAAAGCCTGAAAACAGAGCCAAGAGGAGGTTCAGAAGTCTAGTTTTCTCTCAGACACCTGAATTATAATCTGCTCAAAGGGCATTATGGGATTTCAGCCTAAATGTACTGCTGTTATCAGAGACTATCAGTCTCATCAGGCTCAAGTTGTTGTTTTCCATGATAACCCTCACATTAAACAGCATTCCTGTTGTCACCGTATAGAGCAAAATATTCTGTTACCAAGACAACAGCTCCGTGCTTATCTGTCAATCACTGATGTGTCTTATGTATGTAATTAGCACCGTGCTGCTTCTGATATCCTACATTTTCCACTATAGGGTGCCAAGAACCACGGTGTGGTGATGCCTGATGCCAACAAAGAGAACACCATCAACCAGCTGGTGGGCGCCGCTTTCGGAGCAGCTGGTCAGCGCTGTATGGCTCTATCCACTGCTATCTTTGTGGGGGAGTCTCGCGAATGGCTCCCAGAGCTGGTGGAACGCTCCAAGTCACTGCGCGTCAACGCAGGTAACTTCATCTGTAACTATGTATAGACAAAGAAAATTGTCTTGTCTAAAACATTTTGAATAGTTTCGGTTCTTACTGGGAACCCATTGGAAGCGAGATGTCTAGTCCACACTGACTTGGGCTTTAGCCAAGTGCAGACCAAAGATTTGCAACAAGACAAAACCATGTTAGAACATTGTAGAGAAAAGTTGCAGCGGTGTGAACCTGCCACTCTCATCTCGACTCAAGCAGTCTGATGGTGACATCTGCCGCTCAGCTGGTCTCGTCGCCAATGGCTGGTTTTAGAACGTAACTCTCATCACCTGTGTTAGCAGCCAATCGGCATCTGCTGGCCTAATCGGAATATATATTGCTATAGTGACGTTCCACCATCTCGTCTAGTCACTTTGGTGTGAACTCACAGGTTTTCAGAACCTTGTAGACCGACATATTGCAAATAGTTGCGAGTTTCAACTCCTCTCCTTGTGAAGTTTTGGTCTGAACTGGGCTCAAGTCTCAGCCGTCTGTCAGCAGCAGCTCCTTGGGAGCTGAGTGGACAGCGGCTGGCTAACCTGCCTTCATCATGCTGAAGGACTGCAGAAATTTAAAGAGCCGAAATAGTTTTCATGTCGGCTACATGGGAAGAAATCAACAGAAGATTTTATCTATCAATTCATTAGTTTATTTCCCCTCCTGCTGTAGCAAATGAGGGGAACCTGCTCCAAGTTTAAGAGGCAAGCTCACAGACAGACTGGGATCCTTAATCAGGCAATGTAGGTACATACAATAAGTTCAACACATATAAAGCAGGATATTTGTGTGATTTAAACTGACGTCTATGCAGATTACGCTTCACTAAACACATCAAAAATAGACTTGAAGCATAAAAAATGCAGGGGTTTAGTGTGAAGCTGTTCTCTGAGACGCAGGAGTGACAGATATGAAAAAAACACTTCTAAAAAAACTTTCTTGTGCATTTTCATATAAACTATTGCAGCATGACACTGCCCTATTTTATAAGGGAACATGTTATGTGAATGTTTGTATCCTGAAGGTGATCAGCCCGGGGCAGATGTGGGTCCCTTGATCTCCCCTGAGGCCAAGGCCAGGGTGGAGTTTTTGATCCAGAGTGGGGTGGATGAGGGCGCCAAGCTGCTGCTGGATGGGAGAAAGGTCAACGTCAAAGGATATGAAAATGGAAACTTTGTTGGACCCACCATCCTCGGCGGTGTTTCGGTGAGATTTGGCACAGGGAGCAACATGGCCGCCAGTTACTCAGAAGTCTGATGTGATCAAATACATGGTCCCAGTGTGACATTTATCAAGTTTTAGAGAAAATGAAATAATACTGAGTTTGCCTTTTTGTAACAGCGGCTATAAGATTTCAGTGTTAAATGCATTCTAAAGCTTCCCAGTCTTCTCCATGTGTTGACACGACATCATGATAATAATACCTTGTGTAGTTTTCGTCGTAGGTGATTTTTATTGCTGGTGGAAACTCTGGTGTCACCACCCTGCTGTTGTGTTCCAGCCGGCCATGAAGTGCTACAGAGAAGAGATCTTTGGACCGGTGCTCGTCGTCCTGGAGGCCGAGAGTCTTGACGAAGCCATTTCTGTAATCAACAATAACCCCTATGGCAACGGCACCGCCATCTTCACCACTAATGGAGCCACAGCGCGTAAATACACACACGAGGTGGATGTCGGCCAGGTGAGAGACACTTTCATCCGGGCTGAATAACAAGACACCGGAGATTGTTAGTCAGTTTGAAAACCATACACTGAAGAGTCCAACAGCTTCTTCTGTCAGGGATTAAAACACAGAGCACCTTTTGGTGTTATTTTGGTCCACAGTGAGTCACCTGTGTGAGACTTTGATGAGTAAACAGTTTTGTGTGGGAGGTGTTTTGTTTCAGAAACAGGAAACAGACAGAGAGTTCATGTGAAGTGTGAATATTTATTGGAGCAACGACGGTTCAAAGGAACAGAGCTGTAAAGTATTCATGAAAGGGAAACAGATTTCTGATTTCTCTCTTATTTTTTCCAATTCATCTTGTAAATCTAAGTTCCACACTAATGATTTTGTGCCATTAAAGGAGATGTTCACAATGTTTTAATTCCATTATTAAAACGTTGCCCATATGTATATTGAGATGGTTTTTACTTGCTCTAATCATTCCTCTCCATCTCTTCCATTGAAGTTATGTCAGGAAGGGATTTTTTCTTCCAGCCAGTACGAATAAGAGGAATTATTATCACAAGTACATTTGTTTCAGTGTCCATGTGATGTTTTAAGACGGGTTTGAATAAAATGGTAACCTAGTTTTTGATCAATTCTTGTTCACAAAAAAGGAGACATTGCCTTTTTTCCCAATATTAGCTTTCATCACAATCAGCACATGGTCAGTCTGACACTGTGTCAGATATCATATGTGATAATTGAATCTTGGTCCAGTGGAATCTTTGTACAGTTTTAAACGTATAATAACATTTCTCATGCATGTCTCCCTCACATTTTTGCAATGGCATATTAGGGCCAGTGTAGGTTTAAAAAAAAAAAAATTGATAAAATGCGGAGCTGGGTGAGGGGGGCAATACTCTGGAAAAAAAACCTCTGAATTTCTGAAATTCTCTGAGATTGTGATGTCGTGAATTTGCAAGAAAAAAAACTAAGAATTCTCTGGATGTGGACTCTGTCGCTCTTTGTAGGGGTGATGGGTGGTGCAAAAAATTATGATTATTATTGTTATTATTATTATTATTGTTGTTGTTGTTGACGACCCATTCCTCATGCCTCAACCTGAAAAAAATGTGGAATTTTTTTGCTATCACCCCTGACTAAGTCACATAACTTTCTGGCAGAAAGCCCTCAAGGCACTTTTCTCATAAATTTGTGACTAAAATCCCAGAGTTTGAGTTTTTGTCTTGACTTAACTTTAGAGAAAAAGTTTTTTTCTCGGAAAGTTGTGACTTTTTTTTTTCCTTTATTTCACAAATGTATGACTTAACAATCTCAAAATATTTGAGTTTTTTCTCGTAAATTTGCAAGCTTTTTTATCTTGTAAGCATACCACTCTTATCTCAGAGAATATTTTTTTTTCCTGTAACAGACACACCGCCCTGCATTTATTCTGTAGTATTATGTGTAGAGATGTAAATACATTATAGACCTTTTAGAACTTGACAACACAAACATTGTAAATGGATCCCTTTGTACTGTGCTTCCTGTTGGAGAGTTTGTTAATGCAGTAGCTGACAAGAAGAAAACAGGGACCAGAACTGTTGCTCTGGCAACAGAACAGCAATGAAAAGGCCTACAGTGATGTCACACCTTTGAAACAAACTGTTTTCTCTCAGCCAAATGACACTGACAGCAGGTATCAATGTGTGTGTGCTTTTGTGCAGATTGGTGTGAACGTGCCCATCCCTGTGCCCCTCCCCATGTTCTCCTTCACTGGCTCCAGAGGCTCGTTCAGAGGAGACACCAACTTCTATGGCAAGCAGGTAAATAATAGAAGCAGTTTGTCACGTGATGGATCATAAAAATCCTCGGCATCAGAATAAACAAAACGTTCACGTGCACTCTGTAGCTGACACAGCAGTTGTCTCTTCACCACCAGGGCATCCAGTTCTACACTCAGATCAAGACCGTGACATCACAGTGGAAGGCCGAAGATGCCACCCTGACGAGCCCGGCTGTTACCATGCCAACCATGGGACGCTAAACTGACAGCATATCCTCCACGTTATCCTTCATTGACCCCTCATATGCCTTAAGAAGGAGCCCGAGGAGGGGATTGGAGAAGAAGGTTACATGTCCTTTTCTGAGAAATATTTACACTGGGGATTTTTAGTTGGTGATCGTTTAAACTTTGACCGCCCTGGACTCGTCGCTGCACAAACACACAAATGCAAAAAAAACACATTTCACTTGAAGACAGTGGAGATAAGCTGGACGGATGCAACGACTGGTGCTGTTGTATTTTGTACGTGTTTTTTCCTGTTCATGTCCTAAAGTACGATTTACTTACTGTCAGTCCTTTGTCATGATCCATTATGTTCTCTGGTGTTTCATTTCCTAAAACCTACAGTAGATATCAGAAGGATCAGGGATTCTGTCTCTACAGCAGTGACCGCTAATTTCTTCCATCATCGTCCTCTGTGGTTCTGTAGCTCGTTCTGTTTATCAGAGCATTGTGTAGATACTTGTAAAGTAGATATAAATGGAACAAATGCCACAGTAGAAGAAGAGCACACTCTTTCTCTGCTACTCCGTTAAAAGTGAAATAACACTTGTCCCTCTAAATGTGCTGTGTATCCCTCTGTCTACTGTCCAGTGTTGGGACAAAGGTGTTCTGTGTGTGATGTATAGTGTCACCGTTTTGTACTGTATTGTCGGAGTGATAATTTTATCTGGTCACAAATGGTATAAAAGCTAAATTAGTGTTACATAATATGGACCTCACGTGATATTTTCTATAAAGTGTTACGATGAAACAACACGTGCTAGATATATTTTCATCCAAAGTATTTGTGCTGCTACGAACTTTGTCCTCTTGACCTCTCCTTAGTTCTTGTGGCTGAAGATGAAGAGATGACAACAAGGGCGTTTGAGTGTGTGGTTCACAGTTTGAATAAAGACACTAATTTGAGTAAATTGTGTTGAAATGGTTCCCTGGCTCAGTTTTATGTGTTGTTCAAAGTGTTGGGGAAGCTACTTCAAAACTTTGCGAGGCACCAATAACTTCACACTGGAAGAAGTTGAACTATAGTGAAGCTACACAAGGGAGGAATTTAGTTTGGTTAACTAAAGCTGCTTAGAATAAACAGCAAGGCTACTTGTGTTTAAATGAGGTCAGAGAGGGTTCGATTACAGTAGTGAGGCAATGGTAAAATAAAAATAATTAATTTCCTGTTATAGCTCAAATTGTTTGTAGTTTCAATAGTTGAAAACGATGAAACTGACAAAAAAAGTAATTTAACTACTTAAATCATTATGCAAATGGATGACCTACATCATAACTACTAGTTAAATTACTTTAACACTTAAATTAAAAGCCCAGTCCCTTTTACTAGGCTGGTGTGACTACACATTTTGGCAAATAAAGGCCTGTCTCAATCAGAAGCCTGGTCTGGTTGTCAAGCAGTTCTTTTTTATTTATTTTTTTATACAAGTTCTTTGGGTGTGTACAACCAGGTTGTTGGCTGCCTCAAATTAATGAATCCAAGTTCTGCGTCTTGTTTAAACAGGATAAAGTGGTGTTGTGTTGGCATGCTGGGTGTCATAACTCTCTCACTCTCAGATGCTCTCTGTCAGCGCTAGATCAAATGAATGATTCATAATTGATATATTATCTGAAGCCAGATTTTTTATAGAAGTAATATTCATACTGGTTTAAATAAACAATTTGATTGTATTTCTCATCTTTGCTGATTAACAGTTTTGTGTGAAAGGAATTAAAGGCCTGTTGATTTCAGGGATTTAAGCAAATAATAGCCGGGCTATTAACTGAGGTTTTACAGTACACATAATTCACTGCTCCCCAAAACTGCTTCTAAAGTAGCATGCAACAACACCTCTGAACAATGGCTGATAAAGAGCAATGATCAATACTAATTTGGGAGGTTCATTTATAGGAGAGAAGCAATGGTACAATAAAGAAAATAATTTCCTTTTCTGGCCTAAAATTCTTTAAAACTTTCAATCGTTAACCACCACGAAGTGGCAAATATGGTAAATATTTTTTCGATCAAGGTCTTTTTTTTTTTCAAATATAACAGAGCAAACAGTAAACACATACATTCACAGTTTCACATGTACATAAATAAAAAGATAAACACTAGATAGAGAAAAGTGAAATGCAGACAGCAACAAAAATGAAATGAAATAATGATAATATGATAAGTACACACACACACGCCTGCATTTCATAGATACGTTGGTAGCTGACATACCTTCTACAAAAAAATAAATGGCTGCCAGAAGATTTAAAATTTTCAGGTGGATCCCCTAATAGTATATCTAATTTTTTTTTCCAGATGGATGTGACGCAGAAGCTCTCTAATCCAAATAAAGTAATTTAACTGTTTGGATCACTATGCAAATATTTAGTTGAACGACCACTGATTGTTCATTACACATGAAGCTAATATGTTTGTATGCTGCAGCAAAATAAGGCTCAGATAATATAAGAAATAATCTTTAATGAGTCCCACAGATTTAAAGCAGCTGGTTGATGTGTGAACTTGAGTCATTCTGGTCCACAGCCTATGGCAAGCTGTTATAACATTTAATAGCTAGACTGGATATTCATTACTAGTCAAAACTCTTATTCAATATATTGTAATTAGAGTTTTGACTAGGCAAAATTCTAATTTAAGATATCTGTAATTCAGTTTTGACTAGTAAGATTCAAACTACTTTTGCCATTCATGTGTATGGGGTTTCTCATTATAGATATCTATAATGTAGTTGCGGATATCTGCAACTGAATTTGAGATATCTCTAATTCCAGTTTGAGATATCTACAATTTAATTTTGACTAGTCATAATTCAAGTTCAAGATATCTACAATGTCATTCTGACTATCTGAAACTTAATTCAAGATATCTAGAAAGGACCATGTAGATATCTTCAATTGATGATAATTAAAGATATCTTGAACTTGAATTATGACTAGTCAAAATTAAATTGTAGATATCTCAAACTGGAATTAGATATATCTCCAATTCAGTTGCAGATATCCGCAATAAGAACTTCAGATATCTGCAACTGCACTGGAGATATCTATAATGAGAAACCCCATACACATGAATGGCAAAAGTAGTTTGAATCTTACTAGTCAAAACTGAATTACAGATATCTTGAATAAGAGTTTTGACTAGGCAAAATTATGTTGCAGATATCAGTAATGAATATCCAGTCTAGCTATTAGATGTTAAAAGGGCTTGCCATATGGCTGTGTGTGTGTTTTTTTTAATTGAATAATTTAAATGTACAAAACTTCAAGGTATACAATAACAATCAGCACATTAGTGACAGTACATGAGAGTATATCAAGTATTTCAGGGACAGTTATATATATTAAATAAAAAGTAAATCAGTACAAAGAGACAAATCAAGGATAGAGTACAAAATAAAAAAAAAAACAAAATAGTTCAAACAGGGGCTTCAGGGAAAAACTTTTCATAATGACTAAGTAAGGTATTACTTTTTTTGTTATTTACCAAAATCAGAGATTTAAGCAAAGAGCTCAGTTCCAGGAGAAAAGGAGCAGTGAAGGAGGAGTGAATGAAAAATTTTGCATATAGGATAATAAAGTTCATCAGGTGTTCAAGAGCATTATCTTCTGGGTTAACATAGTAGCATCTTTAAGGGTAAGAGAGTAGATAGAGTTAGCAGCATCAAAAAAACGAGATTCAGCATCACTCCAAAACATTTTGGATATATCACAATAAAAAAACAGATGTGAAACTGTTTCTGTATTACGATTACAAAAAGTACAGGATCGTCAACATCTATAAACTTAGCAATAATACTACTGACTGAGTATATATTATGCAGTATTTTAAAATGTACTTCTTTAGCCTTGCTAGATATGCAATATTTATGGGGTAGAAGCCAAACTCTTCTCCAGTTTATGTCCTCTATTTATCAGCATAATCAGAAAGACTGAGGATATTGTGTGTTGTTATCTGTGGACAGCTCCTTCTGTGACGTCACCGACACTGTTGTTCCCCTGCACGCGACCCAACACTGCTGAATCACAATGGTGACGTCACCGCGAGTCAGCCGTTAGCCGTTGGAGAAGAAGCTGGGTAGTAGGATATTATGGTGAGCTCCGAGTGTGTCCAGCGCTCAGGAAACACTTAAATAAGTTAATTACATGTCTTCATTAACGTGTGTTTTACTATTTCCTGTGTGTTTGGGGAGTTTATTCTTTAAAGTTCTTCGAAGAACATTTCGTAATGTTCCACTGTTAGCTAACTAGGTTTTAAACTAACTTCACCGTCAAACGGTTTTTACTGTTGTATTGTTGTCGGTGTTTTTGGAGTTTGGTCTCCAAGTTTCAGGTTCTTCGAAGAACAAGGCTAGGTTGTTAGCTAACTAGCTTTTTAACAAACTTCACCGCCTTGCTGTCTTTAAAGTAGTTTCCACGCCAGCTAACGTTATCTTAACTAATGTCAGTTGAATGGGAATTAACCTTAATGAGGAGCTGAGTGAAGTTAACGCTGCCAGCTGTGTTAGCTGCACTGACAGCTGAATTAGTTGCCTTTGGACATGTGGGAAAGTTTTCTAAACATGTGTCAAGTGTATTAAAGTTAAAGAGGATACGACTTGGGTTATTGTTACCATTATATCGTGTCAAAGTTAACTGTTCCGTCAAGCGAGCAGCTGTTCTCGTCTCTTAGTTGTTAGGGAAAAGGATGGTTTAACTTGTTAAAACACACCATGGCAGTGTTCAGGACTCGAGTTTGTTTTCTAGAAATAACTAGTTGTGATGTGGGCTGACCACATATCTGTTCTGACACATTTCTGTGTGATGACTTTACATCCAGTCAGGTTACACACTAACTGATGAAACATGCTGCACCTGTTCACAGTCTAAATGCATCATTGACAGTGGGTTATTAACTTTATGGACACTGTAGAAGTAGATTTTCCTGTTCATTTCTGTTAATGCTACAGTAAAAGTACGCTTATTTTAGTTATGAAATTGCCAATGATAGTTCAAGCCACTGGCAAGACACTTTTATAAATTCAGATTAAGTAAGGCAGACCTAGAAGCATCCTAACCCACCCCAAAACACTGATAAGATGTAAAAAAAAAAAAAAAAAAAAGTAAAAATGTCGTTAACCTCATCAATTTATTACACTTTTTAAACTTACAGTTACTAATGCAATCACTTGAGAAAAAAAATCTGCTCTTTTTTCTGATTAATGAGACTATTATCTCAGAATATGAGAACATTTTTATGGGAAATAAAGTCTGCTCTGTTTTAAAATCAGCAAACTAATAAAGTCATTAATTCTCATTTTTCACCTGCTCTTTTCTGTTTAGTTATTGTAGAAAAAGCTGACGTGACTAGTTATAAAAAAAAAACAAACATTCAGAGCTTGAGTTTGTTTTCTAGAAATAACTAGTTGTGCTGTGTGTGTCTAACCTGTGAAATGAACTGAGGGCTGACCACATGTTAGTCTGCTCATGTCATATCCTGCACCTGTTTTATCAGCTATCCTGCTATCTTTACTTTAAATGCATCACTGACAGTGGGTTATTAACTTTATGGACACAGTAGAAGTAGATTTTCTGGTTCATTTCTGTTAATGCTACAGTAAAAGTACGGTTATTTTAGTTATAAAATTGCCATTGATAGTCCAAGCCACTTTTTAAATTCAGTATCAAGTAAGGCAGCTCTAGAAACATCCGAAACCACCCCAAAAGCCTTAATATAATGACTTAAAAACACTAAAAATGTCATTAAACTTATGCTTTTATTT